AGGTGCCATTAGATGAGGAGTGTCAGCTTCTTATAATAAAAACAGTATTATTATTATTGATATATGAAAGAAAAATAATGAAATACAATATGCATAAACATAACTACACAAGGGAGCTGCCCTTAATTTCTAAGTCACAGAGAATAATATTCAAGTACAATATACACTTCATCTAAAACAATAAATCACCATCTAGAAAACTTCACTAACCAAAAAATTGAAAAAAGTTATTTTTTTTCCACTTTAAAAATTAGTCAGAAAAACTGTGCTTGGGTTACTTGTTTTTGATTTCGTTTTACCTGGCAGTAACAAAAGATGGCAGCTCTACACTTTCCTGTTTACAATGACAGAAAAACTATTTTCCAGATGACATGAGGATCAGAACTGATAAATTGGCACATGAACATCAGTAGTCAACAGGTTAGTAGTACTCTTGGAGCTTACGGAGGTGATCATGTGATGATGAAGTCTTGGATGAATTTAAGAGAGAGAGCCAACCCTTTGGTAGGGATGGTCTCGTATAGCCAAATGATGCTTTTGTTTAGCCACTGCACCACTTGATGAATGTTCAGCAGCAAAATCTGCCAAAAGTGGAGATGCTGCTAATGCCGCAAACTGATGATAATCTGCATATGGAGCATAAAGTAATCCTGCATCTGTAGGAGTAATGTGTGGAGGTGGTGCACTTCCATTGAGTAGTGTGGCACCAGCCATTGGAAGACGTGGAGATAAGATTAATGGTGCTCCCAATGGATTTCCGGGAGTTTGGAGAGGTGCAGAGATGGTAATTGGAGATGCCATTAGATGAAGAGTGTCGGCTTTGCCTGTTTTTGAACTGCTATCTCGATAAGTACCATTTATAACATAAATTGAAGATATTCTTTAAAAAATCATATATGAAAAAATAATACACTTTTTCAAACTTCATCAATTTACTAGGAAATTCTTAAAGTTATATCTTTCAAATATCAGCTAAAAGAGAATGTAATATTTAGAATATACTGATTTAGGGCAATCTATTTTGTTTAAAGAAATATTTAATAAAATTGACTTACTAAAATTACATTATAAATTCCTATGTAAAACCAATCTAAATATAGCATCATTATAGCCTAATAGTTTCTAATAAAGTATTGGAATTTTGAAAAAAAAAAAAAAAAATTACAAAATTTCTTTTTATTTGCTTTTCAAAACCGCAATGCAGCATAATAATCAACACTTGGCATAACTCATTCATTTATTTCAGCTTTTGTTGAGATGCGTTCTACACACATTTCGGGCTTTGTTTTGCCCCTCCTCAGTCAACTTTTAAAAACCCTTTTAAAATCAAAAATTCCATCTTTTGATGTATTTCTACAAGCCTGAATCATACACTATATATTAGATTGTTTCAAGTACTAGGCTGAAATTTAATCCTACTTGTTACCTACCAGACCTACACTTTCGCAATTAGACTTTACTAGACTTCGAAAAAGATTCTTTGAAATATCAAGAAAAGACTATAACGGACATGTAGCACAGTTCTTCTTTTATACCAACACTAAATAACTCAACTAAACTTCACAGCATTTAATGGTGTTATTCTTTTATGGTGATTTGCATAAATTTAATAATTGAATAAATTTTTTAGAAGAAAAAATTTTTGGAAGAAAGCATTATTATGCAAATCACCATAAAAGAATAACACCATTAAATGCTGTGAAGTTTAGTTGAGTTGTTTAGTGTTAATATAAAAGAAGAACTGTGTTCATGTCCGTTATAGTCTTTTCTTGATATTTCAAAGAATCTTTTTCGAAGTCTAGTAAAGTCTAATTGCGAAAGTCTAGGTCTGGTAGGTAACAAGTAGGATTAAATTTCAGCCTAGTACTTGAAACAATCTAATATATAGTGTATGATTCCGGCTTGTAGAAATACATCAAAAGATGGAATTTTTGATTTTAAAAGGGTTTTTAAAAGTTGACTGAGGAGGGGCAAAACAAAGCCCGAAATGTGTGTAGAACGCATCTCAACAAAAGCTGAAATAAATGAATGAGTTATGCCAAGTGTTGATTATTACGCTGCATTGCAGTTTTGAAAAACAAATATAAAGATACAACACTGTTTCGAAATACGAAAGACAAAAATTCTTATGAACAAATTCTACGAGTGTCCTTCCTTTTTGTCCTTTCATACACCAATAGGAAATATCCAATCTTGTGGTGAAGTCAACCTTTATTTCCTATTGGTGTATGAAATGACAAAAAGGAAGGAGGACACTTGTTGAATTCGTCCATAAGAAATTTTGTAAATTTTTTTCAAAATTATAATTATTGTCCTGGCATTAAATTTTATTTTAAAGTATAGGAATACAAAGCAAGTAAATATTTTAGAATAGTTTCATATTTTCAAGAAAATTTATATTTTTACAGAAAAAGACTTTCCAGAGTAAAATGGTAACTTGTTGAGTCTTAATATAAACATAGTTTTTTTATTTAAATTAAACTGATAATGGAAAATAACTGTTCAATTAAAATAGTGAACTAAGCAAAAATTTAAAAATGGAATAAATATGATTATATTGACACACAAAGCCTAAATTATATTATTAATAAAATCTGGTTTGTTATTTGATTGGAATAAATATATCTAACTATAGATAAGATTAAAATTTTGTTAATGTAAATGAATAAAAATCTTACCTTAAAAGAGTAGAATGTACTCTCTGCATGGCTTCTCGTTTCTTTGTTCTATGTTGTTTAGCAACTTTATCTGCTAAAGATAAGGCTATTCTTTCACGAGCTGGCAAGTCTGGAATTTTAAATTGTGGTCCTCCTACATTTTGAGGTAAAGGAGTGTTGCTGCCATCTAGACGAAACGGAGTACCTTCAATTTCTCCCCAAGTCATTAGAGGAGACTCACAAACACCTGTAGAACATCAGATGGTTAATGTTAATGCATCAGATCATATAGTTTAAAATTAAATACATAATTTTTTAAAAATTATATTCAAACAGGAAAATCAATCATATACTTGTATTCATAAAGAAATTAAAGCTCTATATTTGCTAATAATGCATACTCATTAAAATTTGCCATTGACAAATATGCTAATATCAAATTATTTGATTCCTTCAAATGAAACAGATTCAGACATCCAATGCAAGTATGCGATTTATTGTACAGTACATGTAAAGATTTACAATAGATTCTTCAGGCCTTCAGCAAGTGTACTATGTCGATAGTACATTCACTGTGGGGCCTGAAGAATCTATTTGCCCTATAACAAATACATTCTTCTCTAGTAATGTACTTGCTTAATATCATCTGTGTTACCATTAGAGTATATGTTTCATTTAAAGAAAGCAAATAATTAAAGTACCTATTATTATTATAACTTTCATATAAAAGAAAAATCATCAAAAAGCATGCTTTTAATTTCCACTTAAAGATCCTATTACTAATGAGTATTTAATCCTCAATTAATAAATATATATGAAAAGAACTATAAAATACTATATTAATATTAAAAGTTGAAACATGTTTTTAAATTTTCTACATAATTATTATTATAAAATGATAAAAAATACTTTGGGGCAATCTTCCTTAATATCTTTAATATTTAAGATAAATTTAAATAAATATTTATTAAACTTGAATTACTGTATGTATTAAGATAGAAACACAATTTTCATATATATTTACAGAGTGGTCCACTTTAATCAATCCACTGGAATAACTCAAAAAATACAAACACAACAAAAAACTCATTGAATCAAAAATATTAGACTTCAGGGGACCACAAGATCAGGTGATCAGTTTTGTCATAGATAGTGTTACAATCGGTGAAAACTGGGTCAACTTTATTTTCTTAAATGGAAACACCCATTTTTATCACATTCTGATTCCACATCAGAAACAAACAAACGAATGTTTGAACTTTTATGTGGCTATCACACCATGTGTATATGCATCTATCGATATCTGTGAAGTTCATTGCTAAAAAATTATTAGGAAACTTATTATTTGTTGGAATTATTCTTTTCCTTCAAATAATGAACTGAAACAAAAACACAAACCACAGCTTGAGGTTATCTTTAACTTAATATATTTCATTCATTCATTATTTCTTTACGAAACTCTATGATGATCAATACATTTATCATTTAATTTAAACTATTAGTGAAGTTCTTGTGTGGTCATCACTTGCCATTAGGCATCACTCTGCACATTGTCTCTTGACTAAACGTGTTTAAGTACTTTTGAAAAAATCTTTAATTATTTGTAGTTTATTGATATCCATAACTTTGGGAATAGTACAGTAGATCCCCCTATAAGACGGGTTCCTATAATTACGATTCCTATAAGACAGCGAAAAAATTGTGGCGGTATCTGTAAACAATGGTAAAAAAACTCTTATAATTACGTAAAATGTCATCGGGCAGCCGAACTACTTTCCGCCGTCCAGTGCCACGCTACACAGTTTAGGCAGGTAAATTGAGTTTAGTATTGTCTGTACATATAATTATATATAAATTAGGTACTGTATATATAATTATATATTAACTTAATTTATTGTAACTTTTTTATAATTATATATATACTTTCCGCCGTCTAGTGCCACGCTACGGACAGTTTAGGCGAGCTATTGTCTGTACAGTATGTAAATTAGATACCGTAAGTCTAATACAGTACTGTAATTTTATACATTTCTTGTGAAAGAAACATTTCTTATTCAACGGCCATAAAAATTATTTATATTAATGATGTCTCTAAAGGTCAAGTTATTTTTCTGTGAAAAATTTGTTATCAGATATCGCGGCCACCATTTGGTGTGCTGCTCCGTGACGAAAACAAGCTTAAGCAATGGCGACGTTGAACAGTGCACACTCGGTAAGTAATCCTACAATTTTTTGTTTATAGCA